CTTTGATTTTAAAAGAAATTAGAAAATGATTCTTGGAGATTCACCTCACTGGAAGAGTGCTTGCTTAGAATGTACAAGGCCCAGAGTTTGATTCCCAGAACTGCAAAAAATTATTTTTTTCCATGATGTACAAAGTTTGGAAAATTTTCAAATTTAACGTAAGATTGAAAGGCAAGTACCATTACTCTTGGATATTTCATCTTGAAAATGTACCAATTACAATCCTATCATATCACGTACAGTAATCCCTCCTCAATATTAGCCCATTCATTTACTATTTCACTCACTATTTGTTATGAAAATGAATAAACAAGATGTTTCAATTATTTTATGAACACTGCTGGCATTTAGAACTCATCTAGCCAATGGTAGGACCACAAGATTGCTCAGTGTTTTATCCAGTTTGTGTAGAAATATCACCATTTTGTGTTCAGAAGGATGTGAGTATACAAAGTAAACTGTGTGAAATTTTGAAATATGAACAATGATAATTGACTGTGAATAAATATAATTTTAAGTTGTCCATTTGCATTCTTCCCAAAATTGTTATATCTACATGGCTAGCATTAATCTCATAGATAATTCATGGTTATTAATAAATAAATGGTAAATGAAAATTATCAGAAATTTCAAGACAAAAGTCAAGGACTAAGAGATCAATATATTAAAAAGGACTATTTCACACACTGGGTACATTATTGGTTAACCATGACTCACTTATTACAATTTATTAACTTATTGAGAGAAAGTAAAATGTATGTTTTTCAAACATAAAACCACATGCAAATACCCAAATGACATATTTTTTAAAAATATTGAATGAATACAAATTCTATAAATTTTAATATTATATAATCTCATAGCATTAACAGAAGGCTTGGTGAATCTAGCCATCAGATTCAGAAGCCATAATTTATGAATTAGGAGTATAATTATCTTAAGTTAATGTAATATTTAAAAATGATTACTAGAATATTATAAATAGTACTATAAATGATTAATTCATGAAAATATTTAGTTGACTATCACCTATCTACTTATTTATTCTTTTTAAAATGTTTTTTTAGTTATTGATGGGTCTTTATTTTATTCATTTATATGTGGTGCTGAGAATTGAACCCAGTGTCTCACACATGGTAGGCAAGCACCCTGACACTGAGCCACAACCCCAACCCTTATTTATTCTTACATGCCAGGAAAGGGTTTAGTCATGAAGATGGAATGATGAACACAGCAGAGAAATACCATACCATTGAGAATTACTACTTTCATTGCAGTACATAACATGCATATAAAGTTTAGGTCACATAGTGACACATTTTAAATCCTCTAGATACATCAGTGTGATTCAGCTTCAGTGCCCTCCATCTATCCATTTAACCATGGGCAATACGTATGATATCCTTCTATCAGAAGGGAGTTAGATTAGTAAAATACAAACGAGCAAACACAGTTTATAATAAATACATTTTTTCTCAAAATGGTAGAGAATGTGTGTTTCTTCCTAAAATATGTAAAGCAGACTAAGGCCTTCAAAAGCAAGGTCAGAGACTCAGTTATGCACTCTTTTAATGACCTTCAGATAATACGTAGAGCATATAGAATTTTAAAAAACTGAGCACAGTGGCACATGTCTGTAATCCCAGCTGATTGGGAGGCTGAGACAGAACTGCAAGTTCAAAGCCAGCCTCGGCAACTTAGTGAGGCCCTGAACAACTTAGTAAGACTGTCTCAAAATAAAAGAAAATAAAACTAGCTCGGACTGTGACTCAGTAGTTAAGCACCACTTTGCTAAATCCCCAGTACAAAAAAAGAAAAAGAAAACACACACACACACACACACACACACACACACACACACAATTGCTGTTCTACTGGTTTCCTCAAATTTATATTCACATAACTTTTAAATGATTTGTATCTATGCATTTCTGCAAAATTTAATAAATGAGGCATGTGCTTCAGGTTAATATTTCATCCAACATGTGATAAATTTAATAAAATAAACAGTTGCCATGGCACTGCAAATCTGATTACTAGGGAATAATTAATTACCTAGTAACACTCCACAAAGGCCCACAGGAGAGCTGGTGAATGTGCAGATTTCTGAGTACTTCAGCAGTGCTTAAGTTAAGTTCAAAGAGATATTAAAGTGCTGCGACCTCTGATTTCATTTTGACTGTCCTTGGAAAGACTCCAGCATACTGGCAAAAAAAAAAAAAAAAAAGCATATCACAGGAAGCCAAAAATCTTATATAGGCTGAGGAACAGAGGACCATTTCTGCTGAATAGAGTACTTATTTCTTTTCAGAAATCACTATTCTCTAATACACATCTAATAATGCATAATCTATCAATATATACATAACAAAGCTTTTAAAGTTTTAGCTCCTTACATGGTTTCTCTGTTGTGAAAGGAAATAATTCACTTGTTAAAAACATGATGTACAGCACTGTGCATATTTCAAATGAGAAGGAAAGTATTTGTATAGTTGATTATGTTTGCTATTGCAATAATGCCATTATTTTTTCAATAACCCACTTGAGTGCTATTGAGTATGATTCCCATGAGGCTTTCATTTTTATTATAAACAGACTACTATGAAGCCTAGTTTTGTACTCACAATAATTTGAAATTATAAAAGAAACAATTACTGAAAGCTTTATTAAAGAAACACAGTACAAGCTCACTTATATTGAAACCTATTTTCCTATAATTGGCACTAGATGAATGATATTATTGGTGCATAATACAAAAAGGATGAATCACATGTTGAGGCTGAGTTAGGTTTCCTTTGACAGAACCCATGTTGGATGTAGTGATGTAAAATGAGTCATTTGGTGGGATCTCCACAGACTGCTTCTAAGACATATTCTAGAATTGTATAAAATACGTAGCCTTCATAGTACATGGGCTCTCTTCTCAATAGCTATAATTCATGTAATTGTGACAATCAGTGAAAGATGGAGAATAAAACAAGGCCAAAAGTTGAAACGACAAAAGTGAATTGGGAAGTACTCTACATGTGAGCTCCTTTTAGTCTTTTGTTGCCAGGTAGTGTCGAAAAACGATGAAAAGTAAACTGTTGTACACACAGTGTTGCTTGATCACTGTACTACAGCTCTAATTTCCATACACTAAGGTGAAAATTATGAATGTTTATATTTAATGAAATATGTGTGAATGTCTGCACAAAAATGTTTGGTGGGATCTCTCTCTCCTGTGCATGCTAGGGCAAGAGAGCCTCCCTTGATTCATATACAAAAATACAAAGGTAATTTCAATAGTATCTGTTTTCGTTATGTATATTTTACTATTTTATTTATTATTCATATGAAAATACTAGCTATGTATTCTAAGGGTATTTGATATGCACTTATAATAAAAAGATTTATAACATATAACGTGATCATAATGGGTTAAACACATATTCATTCTTTTTAGGAATTCATGAAACACGGAGGCTATGTTGT